GTCTAGGAAAAAGGCCTTTAAAAAACCACCATATTCTCAAACAAAAATTGGAGGAAAATGTTGACAGGTGAAGTAAGCCTGTTTCTGCCCTTCCAGCCATACAAGGTAGTGATGCTAAAACACATCAAAATGGATGAAACAATGGCACAAATGCAATGCTGGCAGTCAATTAATAGTAGTAAGAAGATTAGGGAATGTCTGTGAGCTTCCACCACCCTCAAAGCTAAATTGTTCCAGTAGTTTAACTTTGGCATTGTCTGGCCAAGAGTCATTGGGTTTCCTAACTAACTTGAAGCCCTAGTTTCACTTCACGGTCAAGAGGGAACCATGTTTACGTTAGTACCAATGTAACAATCATGATTAAAGACAGCAGGAAAATTTGCAGTGAGGCGAGTTCACAAATCCATCACTCATTCCCAATCTTTTTACTATAGGAGATCACTGGCATACATCACTACCAGATTAGAGTGGCAGTATTTACGCATATACAGTATTCATTGTGTGTGATAGTTGTTACCTTTTTAGCAACAGTTTCTGGTGGCACATCTCGCCTTCCAAGGGGATATGGATTCCATTGGCCGCCAGCAGAAACATCTTCCTGTCCATTGTCTAGAATGCTGCTCTGTTGTGATGGGGTCTATTTTTAAAATGTTAGGTAAGAGATTATTTAGTGAGAGGAACGATCAACAGTTCATTTGCCCCAAATTAGCCTTTTTGATAAACATTGTTTTTGTTTTATTTTTGATGGGGAAATATCCACACAGAACATATTATTGCATTTTATCAAGATATAGAAAAGCATCAGTGCTCTTTTATAATTGATCACATATTTGGATAAGACTTCAATGCACACAAAAAGTGCTTAGTAAGAAACTGGCAACACCATAAATTTAAACACACACTAAATACATCTATCAGAAGGAACATTGTTAATGTACATAGTAATACAATCTTCATGCTTCTGCTTTCTAGAAAGTGTCAACTTATTAGTAGACAATTGTACTATGAGAGTGGAAATCCCATGGCAAAGAACCATATTTTTTATCCCATCTCAGATATTGAAATCAGTATGAAAATTGCTCTAAATGTCAGAGTTAACAATGACATTTTCTGTTCCATATTAATATGCATTTTTAAAAGCTCCAGCTCAGGAAAGCACTTACGATTCTTTTAATCAAGAGAGAGTCTGATCCATAAGCTAGAGTATTGGGCTTTAAAAAGGTTAATAGGCTGCTACAGTTAATGGAACAGTTAGACTAAACCTCTCAAAGTATCACAGAAAATATTAGGCTATTGGTGAATGTTCGTATTAGTTATGGAAATTAAATACAAATGCTCATTTTTAGTTAACAAAAGGAAAATAGTTCTATTCTGCAGACATTCAATTTGATGTTCTTGTTTATCTTGCAGCTGCTGCCCAGGGGACCTCAATCTTCCCTCCAACTGCTGGACCTGTGGCCTCTACTGGATCCCCAGACCAAGAGGTCCTTGAGTTTTAAGAGGCTTTGGAGCTGAGCACATACACTGGCAGTAGGGAGTGGGCAGGAAGCCTCAATGCACAAGAGGCCTTCAATTTGCACAAAGAGTGCATTCACATGTCATAGTAACCCATAAACCATGGCCTACTGTGCACAAGACCATGCCTGGAATTTTATTCCTGTCTGCTAGCACTGTGGAGATACAAAACACAACCGCTAGGCTTAGTGTTACATCCTAAAAAGCAAGAGTTTTGCTCCCAACTACAATTGACAGCCAAGTTTTGTTCTTGGCTTGCTGACTGATCGTGGTTGTTTGAACAAAACAAACCTCAATCTCCGGTTCAAATGTAATGCTAAGACAGGGACCATGGTTTGTTTTCTTTGTGCGCTCACAGGGAGGAGCAAAACAGTCCAGATAGGCATGTTCATAGTAAACTATTTCAGAACACCAGAGAGAATTGAAGACCTCCATACACAACCATAAAGAATCCAAGTTGACCGTTCAGAATCGCCCATAGACAGCACAAAGCGTGGTGTAGTGGTTAGAGTGCTAGAAAAGGACCTGGAAGATCAGGGTTCAAATCCCTGCTCAGCCCAGAAACTCACTGGGTGACCTTGGGCCACTAACAGTCTCTCAATCTAGTCTACCTCACAGGGTTGTTGTGAGGATAGTATGCCAGCTTGAGTGCCTTGTGATATTGGAAGTAATTATGCCAAAGAAAGGAAGGGCAGACCACAACCCCAAGCCTGATATTATTTTTATAATAAAAACAATGCCTATTAGTGTCCCCCCTCATGCAGTAATATTGCCTGCTTAAATGTCTATATTATTTGGAAACTGAGCAACTTAACATCCCAAATGGAAACTCATCCTATTAGATCTGGGTCTGGATTTGATAGAACCCCGAGAGACTGTTTCTAGCAAGTTTTTGGGTAGAAGCTACCATTGCTGACACTCATAAAAGGGGTATATATAACTTTGGTTGTCAACACAGTAACAGAAAGTCACAGCAACTATGTCCTTCTCATATACATAGTTGTGAAATGTGGCAATCGTGCTGTTCAAATAGCACATGCTATTGTTGCAAGGTCTGTAAGATTTGGTTTTGTTACAAATACTTCTCAGCTCATGATTGCTGCACTGCTATAGTTATGTAACTGTTATAAGTCTATGTATTTTAATATGACAATATGTTTTGTTCAGGTGGAAGCATTTTAGGTAAAGGTAAAGGTACCCCTGCCCGTATGGGCCAGTCTTGCCAGACTCTAGGGTTGTGCGCTCATCTCACTCTATAGGCCGGGAGCCAGCGCTGTCTGCAGACACTTCCGGGTCACGTGGCCAGCGTGACTAGCTGCATCTGGCGAGCCAGCGCAGCACACGGAACGCCGTTTACCTTCCCGCTGGTAAGCGGTCCCTATTTATCTACTTGCACCCGGGGGTGCTTTCGAACTGCTAGGTTGGCAGGCACTGGGACCGAACGACAGGGGCGCACCCCGCCGCGGGGATTTGAACCGCCGACCATGCGATCGGCAAGTCCTAGGCGCTGAGGTTTTACCCACAGCGCCACCCACATCCCTTGGAAGCATTTTAGGCGCGTCCAAATAACGTGGGATCAGCGAAGTGCAGGTTCTTTCGGATCCAGAAGAGGGAAGAACAAGGGTGGAGTGGGGCAGATGTAGGGGGGCAGGGTAGGCTGTAATGGGGCAGGGTGCACTTATGTATGCTCTGTTGATGCAGGCAGGGATTGGAAATGGAACCCCTGGGCAAAATGGTCATCGCCTGTATTTTAAAAACTATGTGGTGAAGAGTGTTTTGTAGGTTAATACACTCTACATTGTGAGGTGCTGTTGACCCCAATAATTTATATTGTTTTACTGGGGGCGGGGAACCTCTATATTATTTTACTGGGGGGGGGGAACCTCTGTATTGCTTTACTGGAAAAACATCAACAAATGCATTTTTTAAAAACTTGGAAAAACCTTCTTCCAGACATTTATGGCAGTTTGACGATTGATGCAGTACTTCCCCTCTCCATCAAAGGAGGGTAAATCATGGAATCATTTAATTTAGACTAGAGGAAATCTCACAGCCTCTACATGTTAGCCAAAAATTTCCTTGACTAATCCCTTCCCCCACAATGCTTAGGTAGCTGTATAATCAAAGGAAGCAATCTTACACCTTTCCTTGGCTACTGTTTTCACTGTCTAATCTTCATCAGATAACACGACTGCATTGATGACTGGCAACTATGACTTATTACTTGATGTTTAATCTAGACTGTTTCAATTTAGATCCACTTTTTCATTCCCTTCTCTCAATAACATTTAAAAGAACAGTTTATAATTAATTTTCACACACTTAGGTTTTCCACCATCATATGTATCTCACCTACACAATCTATAAACAGGCCTAATGGTTTGTGGTCATGATGAATTCAATCTTGATTCACAAATATTTTTCAAAATGTTATTGAGATATGTCCCCACCTTAAAGGCTTAAAATACAAAACATATTTACATACAACATATATCTGATTTCACAATGGTCTACATACAGAAATGTGCTAATATAATAAAAGATGTAAACAGGACATACATTCTGAAATTTTCATTTGAGCTATTTTGATTATAATCTAGTCTTTAACTAGACCACTGAACTACATGACCAGTAGGTCCTAGCTTCTAATTGATAACATAGTTTGTGACCGAACTTGGTTGACATTAAACATCTACACCATTCTGACACCATCAACATCATTAACCAACTACAACATGAAACATGGCCCTCAGATTTCTCTGGTTCACATAAAATTGACTACATTAGTCTGCAACAAAAGAGCAGAAAGCAGCATGACTGTCACGTGGTGAGCCAATTACTTGAAGAAGCAAAGATATAAAGTCGGCAAGTTGTGTTAGCAACTTTGGTTTTTGAATTGCTTATAGGACACAAGCATGAATAGTAATGCAAATGCTAAAAAGGAAGAGGAAGGAGGGCATGAAAAAATATTACTGTGTTTTGTCTGATATATGCAGGCTATCTCATACTTACTTTCGGTAGAGGTAGCTCTTGATGCATTTGGTTTTCAAATTTAGATTTAGTCTGCAAGTTTAATGTCATGCTTCTGCCCGCATGCATTGCTGACAAACCTCCAGAGCGCAGCATGCCAAGGTTAACAGTGTTGTGCTTATAAGCAGCAGTCTGAGTAGAGGAAATAACAACCACGTGACAGGATATGAACACGCATGCTCATTAAGAGAAAGTACTGCACATATATGACTAACTTCACATGGTCTCATTTTAAGCAAACAAACAATACCAAGAAATAAGTAGCTTTTTATGCATGCACTGAGTCAGACAGAAGCACATAGAGTGCTAGTTGTACATAAAATGATTACCATAAAAAGACATTGACAAAAAAATCAAACAAGATATATTTTCATATTCACAGAATCATAGAATTGTAGAGTTGGAAGGGACCATGAGGGTCCCCTGGCCCAACTCCCTGCAATGCAGGAATCTTTTGCCCAATGTGGGGCTCAAACCCACGACTCTGAAATTAAAAGTTTCATGCTCTACTAACTGAGCCACTGTTTTTAATACAAAGCTATAGTAATTTATTTCATGCAGAAGTGGGTATTACCCAGAGATTTTCTACAAACTTATGATAAAATATGCATTTCTTTTCTGCAAGTAATAAATTGGGTAGAAGAGGTTCTACTCTATATAATACGCTTCTTAAAAATGTAAGACATTTCTGGAGAGAATAAGGTTTTAAAGAGTCAAGGAAAATGGTAAAAAAAGAGTTTTGCACATCTGTTAGTTGCTGAACGATAGAAACATCTGGCTTGCTATGGTTTAGTTTCACAAAGAACCAATCAAAATAACTGCTATCAAGAGCTGCTCCAATATATTGTAGTGGATGTATACCTATTTTGAATTTACACTTCAAAAGAACTACCCACACTATATACAGTGTGATTAAAAAGATCAGTCAGCAAATGATCTTCATGAATAAATTATTCTGGATTATATATATACAAAAAAACAGCAATATAAAAAGTAAAATGCACTGGGCAGTATTCACCCAACATGTCCCATCAGTGCAAGCCTGTTTGAGGGCTTCTGCTTGTGCCATGGGGCTGTCCCCCATCTCCTCTCCCTGCACCCCCTGAAATTGGCTCTGGGTTGGTCACAGAACAGTGCTGATGGGACACTCCCCTTGGTGCAATGTTGAATTCCACCCATAGTGAGCATAGCTGTGGAAGTACATCTGAAAGATCTGTGCTTCACCTGTCCATGCAAATGAAGTAGTACACAGATCTCTCAAGTGTCAGCCTGAAAGCAATCACAATAATCAATGGAATAAGCTTGACTCTTATGAATGCTCAGTGATTTACGGAAGCCACTAATGCCAGGGAGCCCACTGCATGGGCAGGTTTCCACAATGTTTCTGTGATGCCCTCTTTTGCCACTCCCCCTACTCCTATTTTGCTTCTGTCAGCCGACAGGAAAGGATGTTGGTTCCCAGTAATTTTTTAAAATATATATATATTGAGACAGCTCTTTTGTACAGGGGAAATCATGCACAAAATAGTTGCATTAAAAATAAATTATAAAATTTGCCTTTGCAGGCACAGGAGGTTGGGAAAGAAAATGTGAGGAAGAGCAGCAGCCTTTCATGCAAGAGACTCCAAATTGTCACATGACTTGGGAGTGACACACTTTTTGAAAAGCTGCTGTTTTGTGCAAATCTGGGATATCAGAAAATTTGTATTTAAGAAGTAATTCTGTTTTTTTTAAATAAAGAAATGTGTATGCTTGTGTAAGGAGACCTTAAGTTTCCTTTTCCTTTTCCAAATTCTAGAAACCCCTCTGCCCACTGTACAGCATTAAAGGATTCAGGTTCAGAGCTAGAAACCAGCACCAAAGCCAAGCGCAGCAAAAGAGGATTTCAACAAACGTGAGGAAGAAATAAAGTAACCCTTTTCGCTTGTCTTTCCCCTGTGAACTCCAAACAGCAACACAAAACTCTTGTTCCAGGCTTGTTAGAGCCTGAACAGGACCACTCCTTAGGAGATGAGAATGCTTTGCAATGCTTTGTTGTTGATCTGAAGGCTTATTGTCATATTTTTCTTAGTAATCAGTGTATTTGAAAGCCAGGCTAAAATTTCCATACATTTTTTTTAATGATGTCTGATTTCCAAAACTGAACCAATTAAATAAATTTCTGTAGATCTTAACTGATACACCAGAATAAATATAATTTGGTTTATAATTCATCTAGTGTTTCTGCAATTTTTATTCATTCATTCTAATAGCTTTGCTTTAAAATCTATCTTGCTGCGATTTTTGTAGTCTCTAGTCAGTTTTTCTTAAACAGGGGGCTGGGACCCAAGAGACGGCCATGGGTCATTTTCAGGAGAACCTCAGTGTCACAGCCTGCCCAGCGCCTTCTCACCTGCTGGCCCCACCCCCCAGCCATGCCACTGTCTTTTGATTGAACCAATGCCAACCCTAGCAACTCCTTGTATGCTAAATAATGGTGACCAGGAGATGGAGAAGTTTGGGGAAGGTGGGGAAGAGAGAAGGGAGGTCTCACTCCTCTGAGGGGAAGCAGCCAGAGGAGGTCCTGAAGGAAATTAGAAAGGGAGATAAAAGGTTAATATTTACACTCATTATTAAAAATAAACCAACTGATAATGGAAAGGATAGGGACGAGAGAATAAAGTTGTTATGGAAGGAAGAGAAGATAAAAGGACCACACGGTGAAAGGTAGAATGAATCTGGCAGGTTCAAGGGAAGGTGAATAGATTTGTGTGACAGAAGAATGGAAGAAATTACAATAGATTAGTAAAAATACTCTGAGAGGCATTTAGAAGTGGGAAAGGAAAAATATAAAATAAAAAGCCTTCTCCATTTAGAGTCAGACTTAAAGCCTCTGGATTGATTGGCAAACTCTGCCTAAAGTGGAGAGGATGAGTTGCAATACTTCCAGAGCGAATGTCTATATTTTGCTTGAGGGAAGCTGAAGTATTGAACTCCTTGCTACAATGAAAATGCTATGGTAAATAATTAAACAATTTCCAAAGATGGTTTAGTTATCAATAGAAAAGTGATGTCAGCCAGCCAATCATGCCAAACTCCACTTCCATAGGCCACTATTCTACAACTTGTAGGCCTCGGTAATTTTCAACAAGTCTATGTGGGCTCTGGCGACAGCAGGGTGGTGAAATCTGAGAACGCCAGGTCTAAGCCCAAGAAATTGTCTTTTCTTTAGTTTAAGTGGTTCACTGTTCTATATGACATCAGGTGTGGGGCAGGCAAAGACCTCAGCCAAAAGGGAGTCTGCAGGTACTGCTGATCAGCTGACTGGTGGCACCTACAAAGCCCTGTGTACAGGACTTCACAAGACCCAACGATGATCTGATCAGAAGATCTTGCAAAGCACCTTGTAAAAATCTATACAAGAATGCTTTGCAACACCCGAGAATCAGTTCATCATTGGCGCTTGGCAGACTGATTTGGCCTGCTCTCCAATCCCCTTTAAATAAATAAAAACAAATAAATTGTATCACTGAATGGATAGTTCAGCTCTCAGTGAGCCACAGCTAAATTGTGAATTACCTTCTTTGAAAAACACATGATGATATCAAAAGATATGAAACAGTCTACAATTTTTGCTCCATTATGGTTATTTCTAAAATATAATCACTTATTGCAGTCACTGAATGACAAACCAATATGTAACTGGGAGTATAAGGAAGGGTAATTTTGTGAAAGCAAATCTGAGAACGAGGTCTATAGGCTTCCAATTTTCCAGGATGATTTCAGCATTTCTGACAGCCACATTTGGCAATCTCAATTTTCACTTATTTTATGAAAGCATCTGGTGAACTGTAGGACTAAAATTATACATGAATTGGTCTTTCGTAATTCATCTTATTTCCAATACTAGTTGACTGAAGGCAAACAGGTTCCTGAGGCTGAGGAAGGCTGTATGAGACACACAGCATTTAACGAGTACAAGGTGATGCAAATAGAAAAACAGCCAACAGGGTGAATGTTTAAGTTCCTTGTTAAGCCCTCGCCATTTATACAAGGCAGCAGTAAGGTTGCAATTTAAGATGGAAGACCAGCTTAATAATCCTTCTCCCTTCAAACTATTCTCCCACTGAAAAGTTCCCACTCCAGTTGCTCTTACCTTCACTGAGGAAAACATGAGTACCTGCATTTTGGGGTGTGTGGGTGTGTGTGTGTGACAGATGTGCAAATGGAATAAAGTGGAAAGGTTAAGAAGCTCCTTTTCCTCCTGTACTAGTCTTCCACTTCAAACTGTAGCCTCAATGGCTGCACAGTATATTAGACTTTTTTCAAAGGAAAATAATGGAATTACATGTAGTATGTAGTTTTTCTCAGAATTCCTTCCAAATGCTTTCTGGATATATCAGTTATAAGACGTTTTATCCATTTACTTCTTATCACCATTTCAAACAATACCTCATTCTTAATTCTTCACGCCTTGGAAACTGTGTCTCATGTCAATGAATTACTCTGCACATTTACCAATAATAAATGTTAATTGACAAAAACTTCCTAACATAGAAAATATAAGTTATAGTTGGTCTCTGTTGGGGCTTTACGTATTTTAACCCGTTATCCTAAACACACTTGGAAATAAGTTAAATGTAAATCAACTGACTTACTTCCAAGTACATAGATTTAAGACATGGGGTACCAGAACAAAAGTAATTGTAGCTTATTTGTTAATTAATGGCTAAATTTTCTAAAAGAAATCCTTAATTATATCTGCCATGATCCAATAGTTCTGGTACATGAAGATGGTTCACACATGCATATCCGACTTTGTGCACACAAGGGCATGGACTGATTCAAAACACAGCCACTGAAGATTGTGCTATTGAGTTCTGTAGAGTTTTGGAGTATCCCCGTTAACTATAAGTCTGCCAAAGTCAATATTTCCAATACTTTTGCTTTGGAATTTGTCTTTAATATTTTTCCTATGCACTGTAAAGGCTAGCAAATAAAACAAATATTTAAATTATAAACTATTTTTGTGATTTCCTTTAAGTTTCATAAATTACCCACTACTAGAAGACCGAGATTATCATTTTTGCATTTTAAAAAACAACAGTATATCAGGGAAGAACTTCTCCAATGCTCCCCAAAGCAACCCTAATTCTAACTCATTATGTATAAACTGTAACAAAATACATTTCATGGTTTATTAATTCAGAACACAAATCCAGGAATTATTACTGGATAACATATTAATCACTGCAAGCAGATTTTTTTTTTGATATATAGAAATATAAAAACTAAAAGGCATTAATTGCAGAGAAATGCCAAACATACCCTGTCTAACCTTCTAGCTTCTATATGTCTAAGTAGCTGTTGTCTCCAGTCAGCGGGCATTTTACCACAGCTCTCATTTCCCTTCACAGGGGTAGGCCTTGTCTTTAAATCAGTGTTATCTGACGGCTTGTCACCATAGTTACCCAAGTTATAGTCTGATGGTATCTTTTCCAACAGAGCTGCCATTGTAGGCCTAGCTGAAACTGGCCTGGTTTGGGAGGTACCATAACTC